TCATGTTGGAACTGACACACTTTTTTCATTATTAAACATCCACATTAAGTCAACATTGGTCACTGTCATTTCATGTTTGGCACTGTGTTAAAGGGAAGAGGGAGAAATGGGGGTGGGGTGGGAAGGACTGTGGGAGGAGGGTGGGCGGAAATGGGAGGAAAGGCATCCTCGACCTACTGTTCCATCAGCGTGAGTAATAAAACAGGCTTCTCCTTACAATGCTGGAATAAATATTGTTACAAATAGCTTTTTAGTTACAGCCCAGCAGACAAGTACCTGTCAGAGTCGTTTAGAAGAGGGACATGCTCTTGGCAATAAGAGGGAGCACTTATATCATAAGTTAAAAATCACTTGCACACAGTGCATGTGTATTAGGACACAATTATCTGCGAGCATGGTCTGTGTGCCTGCATGCATATCCAAACTGCATGAGTATGTGTGGGCATCTGGATCAATGCATGTTCACATACGTGAATTGCTTGTGCATTTATGAGTGCTCATGCACACTCACAAAAACTCACCTGTATTTGCTGGGGCATACCTGTATACACATGCAAGCACATGTGACTGGGCCCATTTTCATGCACCTATATGTGTGATTTTACAGCTGCTTGGTTATGCACATACAAGTCTGTTTACAGATCTGAGGGCTCATGAAAATTCATGGCTAGTTTTGTGTGAACGAACATATGCAGGTGTTGCATGGACACATACGTTACGTGTTCATTTCTGGATGTGCACATTATGGTAGTATATGCCATGTACACCCATGCCCATCCCATTGCCTGTATTTGTGTACATTCAATTTGTAGCAGAACATGTAGTTTTTTTGACTGAACAAATAGACCATAGTCCACTTTTTTGTGAGGCTGCCCAGTGCTGTGTTTGCTCTGGATGAAAATCTGTTGCCTTCAAGCTGCATGTATAAAAGGTAATATTGTTTATGTATAGTAAATATCAAGCTCTAATTAACTATAGATGACAATTATAAATAAAACTAAGCTCCTGGGTTTCCAAGGAACCAGAAAAACACACACACACACACACACACACACACACACACACACACTCTTCTGGTTAATACTGAAAGACTTCCAAGAAAAGTAATTTAAAATATATATATTTACTGCATTCTCCATTAAATTAGGTTTTAGTAAAATCTATATTTTTCATGTAGATTTTTCTGAAACCATCTGAAAGTCAAATCTCCACAAGGCATCTCAGGTTGGGTACCCAAACCTGCCTCACCTGTACACTCTAATTACTTCTGAAAATCTTTTCTAGATAAATATATACCCAGTAGCACTGAGTCTCTCCAGACCCACACAATTCCTACCTCTCTGACTTCTGCTCTACCACTGACAGCCCTGGCCATCTTCAGGGATATTCCCAGCTGGGAACACGAAAGTGAGACACTGGGTTGTGAGCATATGAGAAAAACAGCCCCAAAGCTCTAACACATGCATTCATGAAAGTGATTTCCTTCCCTGAGCCTCCCCAATCACCAGTAGCAGACAGATTCTTAATGACACTCTGACTGGAAAATTCAGAACTGAAGGTGTGAAGGCACCCATCCTTCTGGGTAGGCTGCGATTACAACAAAAGGCTAAACCTGCCCTAGAATAAGCTCTATAAATATCTTCACAACGCTAGAGAAAATGGACTCAGCTTTAGATACCAACCTCAGGGTTCCACTCATAAGAATATATCATTCACAGTGGCCATATCTACACAAGATGCTAACTGTATTAACAAGTACTAAATGACTAAACAGTAACCTGCATTACGCACAGTGGCACTAACAAACGTCTTTTTTGTGATACTACTGCAAAATAGCCTAATACTACTGCTCAGTAGTGTCACATCACGGTTTTTGCCATGTGATGCTATTGTGCAGTAGTATTGGGCTACTGCGCAGTCAGCGTCTCATGTAGATGTGGCCAGTAAGAAGGAAAGCGATCATCTTGCAATCCAATGCTGAGCATGCAGAGCTACATCTGAATATATGTGTGTGCAGGCAAAGCAGCCAATCTCTGCGCTGCCTGTGTAATTATCTTATGCCTACCTAATCTGCAGGAAGTGAGATAAGTGAAGGAAACCCACTAGCCTGTCGCTTTGGTGTCCTGCCTCTTAAATGACCAGGCTGGGCCCTGGGCTTGTTGATGGAATTCAGATCCTATGGCTGGTTATAATTTGTGGAAGGAAAGTCCCAGATGAGAAGACCCAGAATATATGGAAGGTACAGGCAGGTATCAAAACTTCAGAGCCTTCTCCCTTCTCTTTGCTGGGTCAAATCCAAACCTCAAGCCTGTATCTTTTTCAACTCTGAGATCCCACAGATCCAATACAAACTTTGCAACTTGCACCTACTATCATAAATCATCTGAAGCAGCAACCCAGATCCAGAACACAGGTATGGTCTGGGAGAGTTCAGATCTGGATCTGACCTTTGCGACTCCTTCCCATCTCCACTAGAGCCTCCCAGAACAAAGCATCAGCAGCTAATATACCAAATAAAACTATTGTTGCTTTAGAAGTAATAAAAGGTTGCAAATAAAATACCTTCTGTTTCTCCCCACTGTAAAAGAACTCTTTTTGCCCTCTGCAGACCAAGCAGGAGGCATGAATTAGAGAGGAAAACAAACCCCAATGTTTGGGGTGAAGGTGAGAAGTGAAAACAGAAGGGACAAGGAGGAGCTAAACAATAGGAGAGTAACAGAATAAAGTGAATACAGATGGTTTCATTCCTGTTACTTAATCAAAAGGCTGTGCAAAGTCACTAGAGCCGGCATAAAGTCATGTGTTAGAACAACAGCTGATCTGTATTAAAGAAGATTAACTCGCAGTGCCATGGTGGAGGGCCTGGGATTATTTTATGTACTTCCATTGCCGTACAAGCCGTCAGCACAATTACTGCCCTCCGATGTGAATGACTGATCTGTAACCACAGCTAAACAGCATGCTGCTTAGGGGCCTGGGTGCTTCATGAAGATGAATTTCCATACCATCAAAGTGCTTTTAATGGGCTTCCTGATCCAACCACAAGGCCTGCTTTGCAAGTATATAGAACTCAGGATGAAGGCTTCCTGTCCAAAAGGATTTGGTCGGTTGTCACTTGACAATTCCCAGCCAGCACAGGGGAGGAGAGGGGGGAGATAGGTAGAGTTGTCTCTGCTTTGGAGGATTAAAAAAAGGAAAAAAAAAAAAGGGTACAGATGCTTTCTGAATGCAACCAACTGCTGTATCCACAGCTGAATTCAATGCGCTTAACAAATAACGGCAATTTAGCTATGCTTGCGAGGAATAGTTTGAGTCACTTTGCATTAGCATCTGGCTGAGTGTTAAAGTCATTTCTACATGGGGAGCACAGAAAAGGAATTTCTGCTCCGAGCATCCTTTCAAGAATGCTTAAATATTTGAATATAAATTCCTTTGTGCTTGTGATCACTTCTTATATCTGACACTCTGCTTTTCCCCCTTCCCTTCTGGTACTCTTCCATGTGAAACACCACAAACATGCTCTGTCCCTTTCTCCCTATACTGATGCCCTTATTTTTCTAAAATAGCTTTTTATGTACCACCAGACACCTATTACACTGACCTCTTTATCTTCCCCCTTCCTATCAGGAGAGTGCATGAAATTGGAGCCATTTCTACATCATTTGCACCCATGCTAGGCTGGTAAAAAAGTAGAGTAGTGACAGGCTCACATGTACATTTAACATTCATTACCCAGATTGCTGGCTTCTCGTAGCTTATTGATCAAACTCCGTCTAAAAACCAGGGAAACTGGAAAGCGATCCAAATTAGCAATCTGCTCATTCTGGACAATATTGTTTGACTCACAAGCTTCCCAGGATGACTGACTTTCAAGTTACTGTTAAGTAGCTGATCATTTTTATTCTATTTATCCATCTGAGTGACTCACTCGAATACTCAGGGATGAAAAAGGCATAAGAACCAAGGTTTCAATACAGTACAGTTTATATTAAATGCAGTGGTATACCTTTTGATTATTTGTTAATAATATGAGACACATTTCATCTCTAGACAAATCAAGGAAAATGTTTTTAAAAATATGAATTTGTGAAGCATGCAAGAGTTTTTGTAACTTTCTATCCTAAATAGCAGCACTGTCTTCATCTCACTGTAAAGGGCCGAGAAGAGATCAATTAACTATTTACTCCCTTCAGCCAGGAGCAGAGGAGCTGAAAGAAGCCAGAAGAGCTTCCTGAGAAAATCAGGTCACCCTGGGCACTGAGAGTCCTGATCCCCAAGACAAAAAAGCAGTGCTAGATCCAATCCTCAGAAGTGGTACGTTAGGAAAAAATATTTTCCTTCTTGATGGTTTTCCTATATATTACAGCTTTACAGACCACTTCAGAATGAGAATGAATGCATCAATTCCAGTGCTTCTCAGTTTTGCTGGATGTATTTGGTGCAGTTTGTGCTGTCAAATCTCTCTTTTTTCAATTTTCTTAAGTCATCTAACAGAACTTGACAGTGCTACATTGCAATGGTCACAAAACATCATACATGACAACCTCATAAGGCTAAATACCCAAGAGCTGAGCCTGAGTATCAGCAAAGCTTATATTCCTAAAGAAGCTTGAATATTTTCAAATCCAGCTCATCTCGCAAACACATGTAAGCATTTCCATAAAGATAGATTTCCACTCAGACCCAGATATTTCAAAGATCACCTAGCCATAATACATAATGACAGTTTGGAACAGAGAATTAGTGTTCTATGAAGTTCTCATAAGGAGTTTAACTATGTTTTATTGGGGGTTTTTCCCTTGACTGTCTCCAGATCTCTGTTGGGTGTGTTTTTTAAGCAGTTCTAAAAGAAAGGATGGAGACAGAGCAGAAAAGGAAAAGAAAAGGGTTAAGGGAGAGAGAAAGAGAATAACTAAGAATGAGTGAGAGACTATGTGCATGTATAAAACTCAAAAGGAAAGACAATATGGCTATCAGAAAAGGGAGTCTTAGAAACTCACCTTTTCTGTCCTGCAGTTATTGAGACCCAGACTATTCACAACCGCCACCTTCCCATCAAGCACCTGTTGCTCCCTCCGAAGCTGCTCCTTCATCTGTCGGGCCTCCTGAATTGCCTTGGTAACAGCATCGTGGTCATTTAAATAACCTGACGACGTGATAGAAGAAAGGATATCTTTAAAAAGAAAACACAGGTTACAAGAAAACATTTCAGTTTTTGTCAGTCAAACTCACCAATGCTTTCCTTAGGCACCATTACATGAGAAGGCAACAAAAGAGAAGGAGCACCCCCATAAACCTGTCTCTGCTTGGAAATTTTGAGACAGGCCCACCTGGATATAAACCATGAGAAACATTAGTTCTGATAGCATCACTCTGATACTTGATGCCATTAGTTTCAATATTTACCCAACAATCTAGAGATCAGCCCTGAGGTTCATATGCAGCAGGGCGTAACTTGATAGGGGAAGGGGGAGGCTTTGATCATGCAAGCAATCCCAAACTATGAAAAGTAGCCCTTTTTATTCTTCCCCTTCTTAAAACACATGAATACATTAAAATAAACCACAGGTGGCGGTGGTTTGCTATAGATACAAAGTGCATAATGGCTGGGAAGAGAAATCTCATCCGTTGAATGCTCCCCACCACCACCTGTCATTCAGAAATGTATAAGAAACCACAGCTACATGGCCCTATGTTCCCATTCTATTCATGCCGTGATAGGAGGTCAAATGTCCACTGTTTGGCTGAAAATTCACAGCCTAGGGCTTAGCCCTAGTAGTCAATGAATTACTTCCTTTTAAAATGTTACAAGCATCACCAGCACAGTTAATACTATTTAATTTTAAATGTGACACTTTGTCATTTTTTTTCCTTTAGCATACTGTAGATTATACTTATTATGATCTGCATGTGATTTGCAGGATAGAATACTGATGGGAGACTCCAAGCCCCTATTTTTCAAACATTAGAGGAAAAGCTAATATCTATCACTCCCTCTCCACATGCACACACATGCGTGTGTGCATGCACACACACACACACACACACACAC